AAAAACATTTGAGCCAATGAGTAGAGATTTATCATGAAACAAAGTACCAGACAACACAAATGGCATTTGTGTTGTCTGGTCATCTTCTCTTGCGTCCATGTTTACCCGCCTTGCTTATGTTGACCAACTGACTCTAATTGCAGTTCTACAGGCATTTTCAGTCAACTGGAATTTGCAAGCCTTTTTCAGATGTTTCTCTCAGGATTAAAATATGTACTCCTCCCAAATCTTTAAAATGCATGAAATATTTCAAATTTGTGAGCCCATTATTTTTACGTCAGTGCACATTGAAGTAACAATAACGACAAAAAATAGACTGGCAAAAATGAATAAGACACACGTGGAATCTTATGTGATATGATACAGAGTGTTTTGAAAAATGTTTTGTTGTGATCTGAAAATAGGAAACAAGCAGAAGAAAACGATTCATTTTGGATTGTTTCAACTACAATGGCGCATGTCATAGAATATCCAAATACATATTTAAAATTTACGACCAATTATTTCGCAACTAAAATAGTCAGATCCTAATGTAATACTTAGAAGGGTCATGGACCACTCGATCCTCTGGCTCGGCGAGAAAAAACATTCTGCACAGTGGTACGTAACATGCTACAAGTAATAGTTTAATTACTTAATCGGCGCAATTTTTGCAATATTTATACTTTTGGAGCTGCTTGGCACAAGAAAACAGAAATGTATCAAAAGTGGGCGATATGCGCAGCTGTCTCACCCCTGGTTTACATATCAGCTATGGCAATGAAGTTTTTGTCGCAAACAATTATATAGCCAGCTTGTACTAACTTTTACCAGCTACATTGTAGCAAAACAGCCATGTGGGCAAGTTGGCAATGATTTATTTCAAATGCAAAAAGTGGGGCTCGGTACAGAACAGGGTTTGTTCTCTTCGCTCTTTTCTCTTGTCCTTGTTATGTACTGCGCCCAACTTTTTGCATTTATACAAGCTGCCTAATGTAATTGCATCTATTCGTATGCACTGACAACGCAGCAAAATCACTCAAAACTGCCACAAATGTTATATATACAGTTCAGAGATAACGTTTGATGTTTTCGGGCCGTGAACTGTATCAGCCTAAATTTCATGATATATGAGAATTTAAGATGCAACATTACATGCACAAGATCAGTTTTATCTGATTGACCAAGATATCATACATACCGCATTTAGCTTAGCAAAAAGTAATCACTGACAAAAGCGAATAGGTGCAACAGCTCACGTCTAGAACAGCATGAAGAAGCCGATCGCTGTCTGTACGGTTAACGAGAAAGTCGAAATTTCGACGGTCAATAGTGTCTTGGGACAAGTAGTGATGACTTGGCTGGCCTTTCAAGACATCTGATGGGATGAAAGCATAGTGAAAATTAAAAACATTAAATTACCATCATCATTTATATTAAAAGCCCTTTCAGAGTATCACACAAGGAGGAGGGAGACAAAGGCATCAACAAATTATATAAGGCTTGTATGCACTCAAATACTGTAAAGTTCGATTTGAGTTGTAATGGGCCAGCTGAAGCCAGAGTATTGCACTTGAGAAAAAAAAAGAGGTTCACTCATTCTGGCAATGCACATATGCCCTGCTTTTCACCAGATGTTGTTCATGCTGGCCCGCTGAATCACTATAACATTATATCATGAAAAAAACAAAAACTAAACAAAACAGAAAACAGCTACAAAGCTAACACAGAGGTGCATTGTGACGAAACACGCCGTACTAGGGGCAAAGGATCGTCAGCAATTCTTGGCACGCAAGTGCATATTCACTCCAACATGAAAGCATGGGGTTATGCGCCATGCTAAAAGGATGCACTCCTCTCAATTTTTTTTTCCCTAAAGTGAATCCTGGATGCAGGGCTCATGCATTCCATGTACTACATAAATGTGTTAGTACACTGTCACTCATCCACTCACCTCAGAATAAAAAATGCTGAAAACATGACAGCACGCTTCACTTCAGGAGGTTAAAAAAAAAGAAATATATTTAAACAATGTACAGAAGTAGCTAAGTCACACAAGCCAGCACCACAGACCTAACGTCATGACACGTGCCGGGCATACATTTCTGCTCTGAGTGGTGGGTTACTGATACAGAACAAGGTAATAAGTGAAGAAACAATCTCGGTCGATACAGAAGAAGTTGCTAAATATCGAGCACTAAAGGTACAAATCACCTTCTTGTTCTACAAAAAGAGGTAACTTCTGTACAACCATAGGATCTCCAATATGAAGAAGCACACAGCTTGCATGCGTTAGAAGACATGACACATATCGTCTTCAGAGCTATCGCTTTGAAAAAGCTGTCATGCAAGACATTTCCAATGTGAGCAAGCCCTCAATGAGACAGCCTTTACTGAGCATACTTTCACTTTTGTCACACACATGATAGCATACATATTTATTATATTTTGCTTCATCAACTCACAAAATCTGAATTAAGCAAGTGCAGTGCATTATGAACACCGGTGGAAAAAAGGAAGGGTGTACTTTAAAGGGACACTAAATACAACTATAAAGTCGATGTTGATTGTTGAAATAGCACTCCAGAAACCTTGTAGGGCTACTTTTGAGCCAAGGAAGGGCTTGTTTTGAAATAAAATCATGTTTTAGTGGCCGGCTTGAGTTAGTGCACTTTCAACTACCGGCCTCAAGAAGTGGTCCGACTCGCGTCACTGTTGCCGTGCACAATGTTGCCCGGCTTTACTGCCCGCTTGCCGACACTAGTAGACAGAATGAAAGACGAAAGCAGCAGCAGCCACAGCAGCAATAATGGTTGTTGATAAATTTACTGCCATTGGCTCAAAGATGGTAGATGTATCTTGGTTCAACAGCGCCCTGCTAGATAGCACGACCTGTCCAGTATAACAACGCGAAAATTGAATTTTTGAACCACTCGCGCCATTCTCCATAGTAATGTGCAGCGATTATTTTTTTCATGAATCAAACAAAAACAAACAAGCAGCATTTTATTGCGTTTCTTGATGCATAGAAGGTTCTTTATTTCATGCAGCTAAATCAATTACTAGTGATTAATTGTAGACGGTTCATCTGACTTCATCGGTATCATTTTGAGAATGTTCTACTGCGGTGCAAGCATTCTTGTGAATTTATCTTAATTTCTCAGTAAGTAGGGCGCTACTGTTTATAATATTATCATTTCAAATGTTGGCATACATTGAGCTTTCAAATTATTATTTGACTTTGGTGTGCCTTTCCAGGCACCGATGCCAACATTGCAGGTATTGTATCTCGATGAACACTGTGACTGGAGAAGCACTGTTGTATGGCGCATTCTGAGATGGGTCTGATGAAAACATGTTGCCTTTATTCAACATCTAAAGAAAGTACTCAAAGCAACTGTGGTACAGTGGTTAGAATATGAAGCTTGAAAAATGGACAATTACTCGTTCTAACCAATGTGGAGATTCCCCTTTCGTCAAGTCACGCTATTACCAAGCCAAAGTGTAGCGAGAAAATCAATGCAGTAACTAACATACTGTAATACATAATTGAGCGTCTTTGAGGAAAATAAACCGAACTGAATAACAGGCCACTTCCTAGCTCATGCCTACTCTTTGCAGCAATAGAGTGTAGGAGGCAACTTGCCAGAAAGCAACCACAGCCTGCCAAGTCTGTGCACACAATAGGAGCAGATCATGCCATTTACTGATGCTACAGGCTATTTAACATATTTTGTCAAGTTTTCCATGTGAAACGCGAAACCTTGGCACAACAGTATATGCGTACTGCTCGCAAAAAACTTTAAAAAAAGTTTTACCAGATCAAGTGCATTTCTTTGGAAATACATTAGGCAAAGCTGCTTTGAAATACTATTTCAATTGACATGCGTTGGAAAGAGACACATCATGTATGCAAATTTATTTCCAAATGTACGCATAAGATATTGGTCATGCTCTCGTTCAATCACACATGCTTTGTGTTATTTGGCTTCATGGTAACCTGTTCATGCAACTGCTTGTGATCTGCACCACATTTTCCACCATAATGAATACCACATGTGCCTGCTTGTAAAAGTGGTGCTTTTTAATTGAGAATGTTTGAATCATATCACATCGATGCAGATGTTATCCACTTCCACAATTAAAGTTGTTTATATGCTCATCCTAGCCCATGCTCTCCCAATTATCCAGGTGGCCCTGATCACCCCCACCACTTGTTTGGAAAAACTATGGATAGTAATTTTTAATTCATTAATTAATTTATAGATAATGCTGTCTCGGTTTTTGAGACAGCAGGAATGAGTACAGATGCTCAAAACAAGGAACAAGCATAATGCAACAAAATACATAATTACACACTTCGTTCTTGAGTTGTTCAGCCCCAATTCTCTGCAAAGACACATGGAGTGAATTTTATAAAACCAGGAAAACTTGAAACAATCAAGAATATATCGAAGGGCATAAGATTCAGGAAATTAGATCATTGAGTACGGTGAGCAAAAGCTGCAACAAAAGAAATGGGCAGCAGAACGCTTGAGCCAGTGTGAACTGATTTATGCTGGAGCACGCAACATTGCTTGTCAGTCTCTTAGATTTGTCTCGGTTACTCAGAGAGAAAAAATAGATAAACAGAAATGCAAAACACCAGAGATAGAGGCAAAGAAACTTTCAATATATTTCAATTATGTGCTTGAAGGCTATATTTGCGGCAGTGAAGACAATTCAGTACCATTTGTTGTTCCAGTGAGAACAAAGCTGGTCAGTGGCACATCTGTAGGGTCAGCACTTATTTAAACATAACCGGGTTTTTCTGCATCGCAACAATCTTTAGTCTACGCTAGGAGAAACATAACCATGCCAAACCACCCAAGAGAGAAAACAAGGAAGTTTGGCTCAAAATCAAGAACTTGAGTGCAAGCAGTTTCTCAACCACTCTTTCATTGAAAAAGCTATTCATACCAAGCAGTGTGCAATGTGATCTACTACATAAAGCAGGCAGAAAATCGACAAACACAATGCAGCTACTCACAAGTTTTTAGAGTGCATGGTGACAGTTCTTTCCAAACAACAGTTTGAGTCCTCTGGGCCATAGTTCTCTTCTCAAGGCTAAACTTTTGGTCATAGCAGTGACCATAATGGCCACTAACAAATGTGTCTTGTATGACATCTTCAGCCATGGCCACCAGAAAATCAAAAAACAATGACATCTGTAAAACAAAATACGTATGAACCTGAATATTGCTTTGAGATTGTATGAGCTACTCGACATAGACAACACTTCAAGAAAAACTGACATAACAATTGCATCTCACATTTTTATGTCTGCTTTTATTTCTAAACCAATACACAGCTGTGGGAGAGGTCATGAGGTATGTCAAATTATATTGTAACCACTCTAGATCTATCTTAATAAGTGCAAGAATGCGGGCACAAAGAGAAGCAACACAAGGACAAGCGCAATTGAGCTCTCCCTAGTGTTGCTCCTCTTTGTTGCCGTCTACTTGCCCAAGCATCATTAAGATTAATAATTTTCAACTAGGCCGATTCACAGTATCACTATAGATTCCTCAAGGCACCGCACAAGGTATAGTAAGCATGGTTGGTGACTGAACCCTTTTAGGTTTGTTCACAAAGTATTAATGTACACTGCTAACCTCAACGAATCAACACATAGCAAAACAGCTGTACCCTGGCAGCCTCTCATTCACGCTCTGTCACACTCACACCAAGCTATGAGTGTATGTGTGTCCTCCAGGTGTAAGAAATCATTAAATAAGTGACATTAATGCCTCTAGCTACCTAAACACACAAGTAGCATGCAATTTAATATAGACACCTTAACTAAAGTGTTAATTAAACAAGACTATGCCATCACGTGTGCTAATACAAAGGAGACACCAACTTGCATTGGCTCAGCGCCACTGCCAACACTCTTGTATTTGCAACAGTCCAAAAGAGACACGGTGTGTATAGCTAGGAGACTCTCGGCCAGCTCAGAAGAACAAAATACCACTCCAGACGCCTGCCCAAGAGAAAACAATTATGCTTTCAGCCTTTGCACATTTCGCAAAAAAGGAAACGATATTCTTCTAGGCAAATAATAAATGAGGAATATCTACACTGTCTGACTGACTGAATAGGTTTACATGATCCACTGGCACAATTAAAAAGAAATGCTAAAATAGGCAACTCTACTTATTTTTACAATGTGGATTTGCTTTAACATGATTGCAAAGAAAGATGCACAAGCATTTTTCGCTCTGCTATTGTTACAGGTTCTATGTTGCTGCACACAACCTGCGAGTGTATAATTAGAAATGAAGACGAGGTCAGCTGAAAAAGAAACAAGAGAGTGGCAAGATGCGATGAAAGATAACCTTAAAGCAGGATAGTAGAAAAAAATGGCTAATGAAAAGGCAGAAGCCAGTATATTACCAGTATTGACTCTGCTTGCAGATGGTTTATGATACTGCTGTAAAGCAAATGCTTCATCAAAGTTTGCTCTGGCAGGTTAAAGAATGCAGCAATCTGGTTGGAAATACATGCTGGCAACTAAAATACTTTAGATAATTTTATTAAGCAGAAAATTAAATATTTGGAAGAACTTGCCGATTTTTACCAAGCCAAGTTTTACTTTGTTTTTATGTGTATCGGAATGAAAACTTTAGCCACTTTAAAAAGTACCCCAGCAGTATACAAAGTTATGAATAATAAAATGGTCTTTCTAAAAAAATATAAGATGTAAAGTAGCAAAAATATTTTAGGGCATAAAAATTTGAAAAGTACAGAATTTTTGGTTGCCAGCTGATGAACAGTGTAATAAAAAACACTATATATGCCAAAACATTCAAAAGAAAGAAAATTCGAAATGTACATTTTCAAGATAACTGACCCAGTAATAGCATAACAAATTATGTTATGCACCACATTTCTATTTACATAGACAAAAAAATACCTAAACTGAGGTACTGCTTTATTGCTCGTGCCATGTGGTGAAGCATTTCCTGGTTTTTCGTGGGTCAAAGTTACACTAGTGCACATTTTACATAAAATATATATCTATATATTTTTTTCAGAGAAGAGCCTGCTGATGATCTAATACAGGTTGATGCTGACAATGTGAACAATGCCTATAAAATGTAGATGTCCAATGAACTTCACCAGTTCATTTGGGAGAAGAAGTGGCTTTTATTATAAGCTACTAACTAGGCTTGCATTGCATTCCTCAAAGCTGCGAAGGGTAGATGGACAGCTTATAATTATTCAGGTCCATTAAAGCGATCCATCAGCCTTGAGCTGAACTGAAATGCCTAGCAAACATTTGTTTTCTCACCAGCTCTATGGCAGCAGGAACATCGCACAAGATCATTGCACCTGCAGAGGTGACCAACTCAGGCATGTATTGGCAGAACCCAAGAGGGCAGAGGAAGTGGGAACCAAACACTTTTTACATGGCAAAGTCGTGATCGCATCATTTTGCAGCCCAATAAAGCAGAGACGAGTCGAGAAACTGCAAAACGTTGACCCATAGGACATGAAGTGTACCTATTGGTATGATCGACTACGCAGCAGTTCATGATTCTGATAAACTACAGGCTAACGGACTAGGGAGAGTGTTTGGTTCTGATCGGGCTCTCAGCGACTGTCTGCTCTGATGGCCGCGTAGCAGCGCGCCACTCGCAGTGCATGGAATGTATAAGGCTCTTGTAGATGGCTGCACTGTGAAATGAGTTTAAAGTAGTTCATTAATCTTCAAAACGATCTTAACACTAATAACTTCAGGTGTGATAAATGGCTAGTGAGCCCTTATCTATTAGCAAAAGTTTCATGTCCTAAGCACTCTTCATTAAACTTCTCTTATTCTGAACATAATACAGTGTTGCCTCATGCTTCTTCATCATACATCTATTTTGGAATCAGTCTGACTTCCTCCACCTCTTGCTAGGCAAACATAACTAGTTTATGCTGAACCATCTAAAATATTTGTCTGTTTACACTGTAACTTGCATAGATAAATCAGCCTATGTAACTTTCATAGCCCAAAGCTAGAATTTACCATAACAGTCCGGTCTTCCCATCAAAAGTATCTTGCTAGCAAGACAGCCAATACAAAATAGGGCGGTGTAATTTATATAATCTAACCACAACTGCAATTACAGTGCAATACCCCTGTAACATGGGCACCCGGGAACACCATTTAGCTCCTTCGTCCTTGCAACAAGGGAGATGCGGTCCGTGTCACACGGCAACCCTTACGCAAACGAAGGTAAACGGAGCATTTCGCAAAGGACGTTCTACAATCTCCCTTTGCAGCGGAACGAGGTACTCTCGTTCCCAGTACCGGCAGGTCAGAAAAGAAATTTGAGCACTAAATTGCTGCAGTGACAACAATAAATGCATTTTGGCAATATTAAACGTTCTTTTGTTGCAGTATTCATTCATAATGTGTGTTTCTTTGGCGCGGTGTGGAGGGCATGATTGATATGTGGGGTTTAACGTCCCAAAACCACCATATGATTATGAGAGACGCCGTAGTGGAGGGCTCCGGAAATTTTGACCACCTGGGGTTCTTTAACGTGCACCCAAATCTGAGCACACGGGCCTACAACATTTCCGCCTCCATCGGAAATGCAGCCGTCGCAGCCGGGATTCGAACCCGCGACCTGCGGGTCAGCAGCCGAGTACCTTAGCCACTAGACCACCACGGAAGGGCGCGGTGTGGAGGGCATCGTCCATGCGTGCGGTTCTTGTCGTTGCCGTGATTGCGTGGGCCCAGGAGAGAAATGACTGACAGCGCTGCATCATTGTCACCTGCTTCGACGAGTGCAGGAATGGGTAATGGGACCAGACCTAATTCAAGGGTGACTCGGGATGCGCTCAGAAGGGTAGGAAACACAAGAACTTTGGTACATAGGCTACAAAACCAACTATTCACCAAGCACAGCGCAATTGTAAACAAACATAGCATTAGGCCCAAGGTGGCCAGCATCGCTGCCAGCATTGCTACAATTAGTGAATGCATTTCCATTTGTAATAATTTTTAATGGTTTGTTGCCTTCAGACCTACTTAATATTGTGTTTTCATAAAAACCACATAACGAAGATTCACAAAAAAGCACCTAGAGATGAAATTGGGATACTTGTGTGAAACTCAAACAGTGCCGGCTGAGCCCTCTTGCGGCAACTGTTGCAACCTTGTCATTGCCATGTGACAGTGATACAACTCCATTTCCGTTGAACTACCTAGCGGAGCTTTACGTTGACGGAGTTCAACAAAGTTTGGTGGTGGCCGTGTGACAGGGGTATAACTAACCTTAAGGGGAGATGCTCCTTGGAGACCTTTTGTGACAGCTCGATGAAACTTTCACCAGTTATGGAGTTTTAGCTCCTCTTTTCAAATTTGCTTTCATTTTTCTATAGCTCATTTAGTTAATTTTTTGCAGTCTATGCATTTGTAAAAACAATTAATTTTTTTGCAAGCTTAGGCAACACTATTAAGCACAAGAAAGCTCTAAAAAATAGCAAACGTTGCTCGTAATGAATTGAGGAATTCAATAAAGCAAAGAAACATTGTGTAACATATGTATGCTGGCCTAGAAAAAAAATCCAATGCCGAGCTTCAGTTTTACCATACTAAAGGAACAAGCTTTAGAAATGATCTAGCAGCATATGCTTTGGGGACCTCTGGAAGTTGATTATTTGGATTCAGGACATGTTAAACGTTAAGCATGCCGAGTTTCATTGCGATCCTACTTTATAAAGCGTATTTCAGTACACAAACTATAAAAAGGCTGAAAAATGAGGAACTGAGAAAAACAGGTACGAAAGTTCAAAAACATGTTTAATATTATACTCTTCAACCAATCTGCATGAAGTTCACAGAGAATGTCAGCAAGGCTATCTAGAAAAAGTTCACAGTTTCAAAATGACCCAGCAGCATATGTTAGACCCTGACAATCTCTACGAGCTGTCTCTTCCCGGCGGACTTTTTCTTTTTTTTTTTTTTGCGGTACTGCAGCGATGAGCCAATGCTTCCGGGCTCGTGCGAGGTTATCAGCGACGGTATGCACTTTTTTGCCAACGGCAGTAAATATCTTGTGGTGTGCTAGTTTTTGAGCACCAAGGGCTAAACAGAACCGCACAAGCAGCTCGTGTCTGGTGCCGAACGCATGTGCTGTGACCACGAGCCTCAGGTTTCGGGCAAAGC